CAAAATTCCAGGTGTGTGAGGGATGGGGGAGGAACTGAAATTTGAGGCAAGGACGTTGTCACAATAGTTGTTAGGCCAATGCTTTGTGGTGGTAACCAGGTTTCATGAGGTTACTGAGGGACTGGTTTAGAAGCTGAGGTCATTTCCTTGTCACTAAGTGGCAAGGAAAAAAATGGGTGTTGAGATTGGGAGCACAAAGGCTCTAGAGAAGGTCGGGAAAGCTGTGACGAATCTGCAGATTAATAGCGTTACAAGTGGGACTTGATGGGAAGCTAAACACTGAATTTGTGGTGGGGTTGGAGCAAGCCATGTCCAAGGCAGGGCCATGTAGGGACTTGTCACTCCCTGGAGCACTCAAGAAATAGAAATGAGTGCCTCCTTGAAAGCACCTGAATTGCTACCATCAAATGACACCATCAAATACAGATTTATACCTCAGGAAATCAGCATGTACAGAGCTGGCTTGGCCCATTGGTAGGAGCCGGGGATTAGAGGATATTTTAAGGACTTTACATTGGCCTGACGTTCGTCTGTTCACCATCCTTCCACCCATTCATTCCATCACCAGCAGTCATACTGAGCGTGTACTTGGTGTCTGGCTGTGAGCTAGATGCTGGAGGAGCATGCCTTCCTTCAAGGAGTGTGCGATCAGTAGGGCAGTCTCCACGTTACTGTGCCTCCGAGCAGTCCTGCCTGATCACATCCTGGTCCAGCAGGATGGAGGGAAACAGGGAGGCCATGCTTAGGCAGAAAAAGCCAGGAAACAGCAAGTTTGTTGTTGTAGAGTCTGAACCCTGCTTATTTTGGTAAGCTTTCTTGTCTTCTTAATATTCTGGGTTCCATTCCCTTTCATTTCTCCTCCAGGCTTTTGGCTACAATCCTTTAAAAATTTATACCCCATCCTTGAGCCAAAGCAAACAAAAGAATGGAATTAAGAGGTTAAGGCTGTTTGGGTCACGTCCTCTTGAGTGAGCTTCACCAGGCCTGGGCTTCTTCCTGTCCCCAGGATGCTGTAGCCAGAGAGTAGGTGAGGGTGTCTGGGGTACCGCACAGGTAATGGCAAGAGCAGAGAGAGGCTGGGGCCGGGGCTGAAGGAGGGAGGCACAGGCTCTGGCAACCCAGGCCTTCCTGCCTACTCATTCTCCCCACGTTCTTTCTCTTGCCAGTCAAGGCAACAGGGCCTGCTTTGTGTACGGGATTGACGGTGATCACAGCTGCATCTAGGGGTATGGTGGTACACACATGGAGTCCCAACTGCTCAGGAAGCTGAGGCAGGAGGATCACTTGAGCCCAGGAGTTTGAGGCTAGCTGGGCAGCAGAGCAAGACCCCATCTCAAAAAAGAAAAAGCCCCCACACAGCTGCACCTGGGGCCTCAGGCTTTGCCCTGTTGGGGCCTGGGAACTGCCCCTCCAAGGACCTCTTGGAGGGTATTGACCAGGTACTGATGGGGTGGCCCTGGGAATTCCCAGAATTGGGGGAAGGGAAGTTGGAGAGTTAAGAGGGAAGAGTCCTCCAACTATAAAAGGAACACTCTGAATACAGTTCTCCACAGTAAGGGGCTCTGCCTGGCAGAGGGGCAGAGGGTCTTGCTGTCCTGCCCCCAGTCCTAAGACTCCCTCCAGAGACTTCCGGCTATCTCTGATGCTCCCAACTAGGCAGCGGGAGGGCTGAACTGGCCTCCTTTAGATCGGGTGCACCAGGGCCCTGGCAGGGTGAGAGGGCCGCTGGAGGGTGGTGCTTATCACCCAGGCTGCTTCTTGACCCTGCCCCACTGGGTCCTCGGCCTTGGCCTTCGCCTCTCAGACGCAATGCAGGACCCACCCCCAGGTGAGCACTCTGGGGAGAAGGGCACACCTGCCCACGCATCCATGCTCTCTGGCTCAGTCGCTGCAGCACGAGTCCTCTCAGGTCTGCACCCTACATTCTGGCCCCTTCATCTCCAGTCTCTCCTTTGAACAGCCCTGCAGCCCTCATCAGGGAAACCCGGCCTCTCTCTCTCTCCCTCCGCTCTCCATCTTACCCTTTCCCGGGTTGTCCCTCTTCTCTGGTTCCTCTCTGACCCGAAAGCGCTCCTCTCCCCTAGTTAATCAGCCATGTAAAGAGCTGGGGCTGGGCTGAGGGATGGGGATGGGCCCTCCCCAACTTGCCTTGCTCTCCCGCCTTCTCCTCACCCCTCCCAGGCCCAACCTCTTTCCCTCCACTCTCCTTCCTCCATCTATCATCAAGGAAGGGCTCCCAGGGGAAAGGGACTTCTGGATAAGCAAGTGGAGGAGGGGGATTGGAGGATGATGGGGGAGTGCAGGCAGCTCTGCAGATGATGATTTCCTGGGTTCCTGGGGGAGGTGCCCCTCGTGAAGGTACGAGAATGCTCCAGAGACCTGTCTCCAGATCCTCCCGATGCCTGAAGGTGGGTGGAGAGGCAGGGCGGCATGGAGAAAGGGCTGGGGACTTCCAGGGGCCAGAATCCAGAACCTAGTGGGAATCAGCCCCGATGGTCACCAGCTGCATGACCATGGGCAGGTGAGTCTGCTTCTCCATCTGTCAGGTGTACAGGATACTCTCTACCCCACAGTGCCTCGCACAAAGTAAGCTCAATGACTGCTGCTTCCTGTCCCTGCTGTCAAGGTGCTGGGCCACTCTGAAATCTCTCCCCTGCATCCTGGGTTCAACCCAAAAGCTAACTCTTGTATACACCTTCTCTATACCAGGCACATTCACGCCTATCATGTCATGTAATCTCTATTTTATAAATGAGAAAGCTGAAACGCAGAGAGGTTAACAGAGACTAGAATAATAGTAGAAGGCAGAGCAGAACCAGAGAGCCTGACTCCAGAGCCCCAGGACCCGGAGTGCCAGCAGCAGCAGGCTGCTGGAGGAGCAGAGGAAAGATTTGCTGAGAAACCCAGCTAGGCAAGAGCTTCAAAGGGGCCTGGAGTAGAAGTGAGAGCCCGGGCATGTGCTGGGTGGTCTTGGGGAATTCTTTTTTCCTCCCTGAGCCTCCTCATTTTTTTGGGCAGAAGAATGACTAGATGTTTGTGAGGGCATTCACCTGCCCTGAACATTCTGTTCCCCCTGCCCCTGCAAAGGGACCCAGCATGGCACAGATAGGACAGGCTGTGGCTTAAAGCATTTCATAGGTGAAAATTGAGTCCTCCTCTTCCCCACCCTCCTTCCCTCTCCTCAAGTTCCTCACTCTTCCCCACCCCCAACCTGTCACCTGGGGCCTGTAATCAATGAGATGTAAAATGAGAAAGTATCAGGAACCAGCAAAGCATGGCGAGCAGCTGGGGCAGCCTTGCCGCCGGCTGTGATGGACTGCCAGCCCTTCATCTCGCCAGCCTCCCACGCCCTGATGTGGGCAGCGGCATCTCACCCAGCCTGGGCTGAGGCTCCCAGCTGGACATTAGAGAGGGGGCTAGCTCTGATGAGTCCAAAGGCCTCACCTTGAAAAAGGAATGAAATCTATGGTCTTGACACGGGAAGATTAGTCTAGGCTGCATGGTTGAGTCATAAACGCAGGTTATATGATCTCACCTATAAAATGACCCCACTTCTGTTATTATGTAGAAATACTGACCCCATACTGGGATTAGCAGCCTTCTCAGGAAGTAAGATTATAGGGGAAACATTCACTTTCTACTTTATATACTTTTCCTTTGTTGGACCCTTAAAACAAATGTATATTGCTTTTATAATAATCTGATAATAAAGATATTTCCATTATGAGGAAGGCCCACAGAAATATGCATGGGCTATTGAAAATGCTCAATGTTCTTGCTTTGGGCTGGGATTTTATCAACATGGTGGGAAGGCCTAAAGCACTAGATCTCAAATCAAAGCACAGAGTCTGATTTTTTTTTTTTTTTTTTTTTTTGAGACAGAATCTCACTGTGTTGCCCAGGCTGGAGTGCAGTGGCACAATCTCAGCTCACTGCAACCTCTGCCTCCCAGGGTCAAGCAATTCTCCCTGCCTCAACCTCCTGAGTAGCTGGGATTACAGGCACCCATAACCATGCCCGACTAGTTTTTGTATTTTTTTAGTAGAGACGAGGTTTCGCCATGTTTGAGACACAGTCTCACTCTGTGGCCTAGACTGAGTGCAGTGGCACAATCATGGCTCACTGCAGCCTTGACTACCTGGGCTCAAGTGATTCTCCCCCTTAGCCTTCCAAGTAACCGGGACTTCAGGTACACACTACCATGCCCAGCTAATTTTTGTATTTCTTGTAGAGACAGGGTTTCACCATGTTGCCCAGGCTGGTCTTGAACTCCTAGGGTCAGGTCATCTGCCTGCCTCAGCCTCCCAAAGTGCTGGCTGGGATTAAAAGCATGAGCCATCTCGCCCAGCTGATATATTTTTTTAATTTTTTTAAGACAGTCTCGCTGTCTCGCCCAGGCTGGAGTGCAATGGAGTGATCATAGTTCATTATAGCCTCGACCTCCTGGGCGCAGGCAATCCTCCTGCCTCAGCCTCCTGAGTAGCTGGGACCACAGGTGTGCACCAACATACCCAGGTAATTTTAAAATTATTTGTAGAAGCCGGGCGCGGTGGCTCAAGCCTGTAATCCCAGCACTTTGGGAGGCCGAGGCGGGTGGATCACGAGGTCAAGAGATCGAGACCATCCTGGTCAACACGGTGAAACCCCGTCTCTACTAAAGCTACAAAAAATTAGCTGGGCATGGTGGCGTGTGCCTGTAATCCCAGCTGCTCAGGAGGCTGAGGCAGGAGAATTGCCTGAACCCAGGAGGCGGAGGTTGCGGTGAGCCGAGATCGCGCCATTGCACTCCAGCCTGGGTAACAAGAGTGAAACTCCGTCTAAAAAAAAAAAAAAAAATTATTTGTAGAGACAGGGGTTTCCCTAGGTTACCCAGGATGGTCTTGAACTTCTGGGCTCAAACAATCCTCCTCCCTCGGCCTCCCAAAGTGCTAGGATTACAGGCACAGGCCACTATGTCCAGCTTGAGTTTGATAATTTTAAAAGAGAAAATCAACAATCCCTTAAGGAGCCTGATTTTAAGATTTAATGTGTCTTAAATGTGATTTAATGTGCAATTCTTAAGACAAAGGGGGAATAGGTGTAAAAGAGGTCCTTGGTGTTCACAGCCTAAACCTGACTCAGGATTGGCTGCTGTCAGGGTTGAGGGGTCCCTACTGCTAGACACCTTAGATGGCCTGAGAACCAAGTCTACACTAGTGCTATATGGTCCAGCCACTCTCCCTCCAAGAGACCCAGCCTCCCTCCAGCCAGCCTGAGGCCCAATGGCATGTGGGGACCTCTGGGAATGACTGACTCTCAGGGGTTCCTTGGCTCCTTGCCTTCCAGCCTTATCCTGCAACCAAGCCCAGGGCATGTGGGCTCTCCCTGAGCCAAGGACCCACACGTGCTGTGAACCACGGGAAAGGGAGTAAAGAGACTGGTGGCTTTTACCCTACATCTGAGGGTGGAGGGGCTGGAGAGGGACTGGAAGGGACAAGAGGTCTGTGGGAGGTCACTCCAGAGGCTGGGAAGGGACAGGAGGGATTCTGTCGCTCTCAAGTGACCTATTCAATTTCCCCCTCTTGAGGAGTCAGCACACAGGCTGAAAGATGCAGTGAGACATGAGTTTATTGGTGGAGCTGCAGTGGAGTCCTCCCTCTTTCTGGGATAGCCAAGGGCACAGCACCAACAGAGGGATGGAGAGATAGAGCCCCAAACAGACACATGGAGCAGACTCATAGAGACCATAGCACAGCCACATAGGCACAGAGAAACACAGGCTACAGCACCAAGAACACACACACACACACACACACACACAGACAAAACCACAGGGCTAAGACACGCGGACAAAGTGCGGGCTTCGGGGCCCCTGCATAGACAGAGCGAGCGCCATGTGGGGAGGGGGCCCCTACTGACCTCCCCCAGGCATAGGCACACCAACAGCACATAGACAGGCAGATGGCCCCAGCCAGCCAGCCAGCCTGCCACACAGACAAATGGACTGCAGGGAAAGGATGTTCGTGGCTTTCCAGACCATGGGGAGAGGGCACTGCAGGCCTTCAACACACCCCGCCACACTAAGGCCCAGGAGTCCCTGCCCCTGAACTGGTCACATCTGTTCCCCTGACTCCCACCCCACTCCCCGCCACACTTTGGTCTTGCCCACTGGGGCCGGGGCTGGGGCTGAGGCTGGGGGAACTGGCAGGTGGAAGGAAGGAGAGAGGAAGGGGTATGGGCCTGGCTCGGTCCCGTCTCTGTGATCAGGGCAGCAGATCCTGAGAGTCCGGGGCTGAGCCTCGGCCTGGCAGTGGGGTGAGGGCAGGGCCATGGCTCAGGCTTGGGGAGGCTCCTGGCAACGCAGGCACTGGGCCATCTCTGGCTGGTACTGCTCGACCTGCAAGGTACAGCTGGAGAATCCAAACCGGGAGTAGAGACGGGATGAGGCTTCAGCCAGGACGGCTTCAGGGTCAGCAGTGGAGTCTGTGGGAGAGTGATAAGAGGCGGCATCCATCCCGGGGGAGTCAGGAACAGGCGGGGGCTGAGATAAGGACAGGGAAAGGGGCTGCACAGCATTAAAGCCAGGCGTGAATAGGAGCCTGCTTTTCTTTCTGTATTGTATGAACAGCATAAAAATGTCAAATCAAATGTTGGAGAGACTCACCCCAATCAACGGTGCTAACACACTACACTGTTCCTAGTCTCCTATTCTCTCCTGTCACTGAGTATCCACATACAGTTCAGTGTTTCAGCAGCCATACCACCCGATTTCCCAGGACAATCCAGATGTTAAATATCTGTCTCATTGTCCCTCTAGAGTTACCATCAAATATCCCACAAATTATAATATTTTTGGCATCCAAATTGCATGTCTCTGATTGCTTCTTGCATCTGGAAGGAACCCAAAAATACTTTGTCAGCTCATGACTCACCATATATATTTTAAATAGTTGAATCATAATGTAGATGTAATTTTATATTAGGCTTTTTTTTCTCAGCATTATACCATAAACATTTTTCCTAGTTTCTGTACAGTCTTCATAAGCATCATTTTTAACAGTTATGTGATACCTCAGGATGGAGGTGCCATCATTTACTTAACTGTGCCCCATCACGAGACCTGTCGGTACTAATGATCTTTCAAAGGATTGTTGGTTCCCTGTGTTACTTCAAAGAGGGTGAAACCGCCCCTAGAACGCTGCGTCCATGACTCCTTGTCTCCAGCATGCATGAGCACACATGCATGTGTGGTATGTGTGTGTGTGTGTGGGGGGGAGACAGAGAGAGAGAGAGAGGGAGAGAGAGAGAGACAGAGAAACAGGCAGATCAAGAACAGCTGAAACAGTCCCAGTAACTCAAGCTATTGTCCCATGTTGGAGGTGGGGTATGTTCCAGGTAGTAACTGGCTGGGGCCAGTGGGACTCACCAATGGCCAGGTGTGCAGAGGCAACGTGGTAAGTGAGCGTAAGGGCCCACAGGTGCAGCTCATGGGTTGCCCGGACTCCTGGCACTGACAACAGTGTATCCCGCACAGGTTCGAACCCCACATTGCGGGGGGTACCTGCAACCAGCACCAGCCATGCCTTACTGCCCGGGCCACTCCTGCTCAGAAGCAGCACCCCCACCACCGGACTCCACCTCCCTTATCCTGTATCCACTCTCCTGTTGACCCCTACAATTCACCCTATGCCCAAATCCTCCTTCCAAGCAACAAACCCCATGAGCCAGGCCTTCTTCCTGTACTCTCTTCCAAGAAAAAAGTAGTGGCCCAGTGCAAGAGTAAAGTCAGACAGGGATGCAGGGGTGGGGAGCAGTGGTGACTGACTCACCTTCCATGAGGATTCGAAGAACATCTCGGAGGGTGGGCGCTGTGGATCCAAGGGCACAGATGGAGAAGAGGAAGGTGCTGATGGGGTCAGCTGCCTTGTATTGAGGCTGCAGAGAAAGAGATCCCCAAGCCCAACAACCAGGGACCTTTCAGAGGAAGATCTAGGGGTATCCTGAAAAAACAGGACCCGAGAGGCCCCTCAAAACCCTGCAGAGGGGACAGGGAACATGACCCATGTCTGGGAGAGTCCTGGGAGGTGGGAGGAAGGAGCTGGAAGGAGGGGAAGGAGGCTTTGGCACCTGTGAAGAAGGGGGCTGGCATGTGGAGTTGTGGGGAGGAGGCTGGGGCAGGTCTCCAACAACAGTACCTTGAAGTAGATGAGGATGGAGGCAGCCAGTACCCCGAAGCTCTGCAGGAGGTCCCCCAGCACATGCACAAATGCTGCCCTGACGCTGGTGTTCCCCAGGGGCAGGGGTTCTTCAGGCCCCTCCTCCAGCGGTGCATACTCTGCTCCCCTAGACCCGTGGCTGTGGGGAGGCCCAGCCTGGTGCAGCACAAAGGCCATTCTGAGAGGGAGGCAGAGCAGCTCAGCCCAGGGGCTTGCTCCTGCCTCCTATGCCCCTCTCTCCATGCCCCATTCTCTCACCTCCCCAGCAGCCTTTTCCCCGCCCCTGGAAGAAAACTGTTTCGAAAGAGAGAATGCAGCCTAGGGGAAAGAATACTGGACTTGGTGCCCCACACAGGGATTTGAACGCTGGCCCTGTTACCTAAAGAGCTATGTGACTTGAGCAAGTCACCTGTCAGGATTGACTGCATTAATGGTAAACTAGGGGTAATACTACGCACCTCATGGAGTGGCTGTGTGGTTTCAGTGCAATCATGTTGATGAAAGCCCTCATCAGAGTGGCTGGCCCATGGCAGGCCCTTAACAGAGATCTGCTGGCTGAATTTTAGGTCTCTAGCCCAGACCCTTCTCAAGCACACCCAGGGCAGCCCGGGGAGAACTGTGTGTGTACATGCATGTGTCTGATGGGGAGGGGAGAGCCAGCTCTCCCATCTTGGATGAAGACCCCTTGCCCTGGGCCCCACAAGGTGCCTGCTCCATACTGGGACGTACAACAGGTTGGCACAGACTGCAATGCTGGCGGTCAGCAGCATGGCACCCCCCTCGATGTGGTAGTCGCTGTGCAGCAGGCGGACGAAGGCCAGGTACAGGAGGATGCCAGTGACCATCCAGAGGGAGACCACAGAGGCCAAAGCCCCCAGAGTCTCTGCGGGGGGAGACAAGCTGTCAGAGACCTGCTCGGGACCCTGAGAGGTGCCCTCTGGCAAGACTGGAGAGTCATCAGCCATGCAAGGGCCTTACCTGAGCGGTGCCAGCCAAAGGTCATGGTGCGGGTGGCTGGACGGGTGGAAAGCCAGAGGGAGAAGAGGCTGCCCATCATGCTACCCACGTCCGCTAGCAAGTGGGCTGCATCGGTCATGATGGCTAGGCTGTGTGCCAGATACCCGCCTGCCAGGGTGAAATGATGGAGTCTGCTTCCACTTAGAAAATATCATGTAGTGTGTATAGGCATGGAAAATAAATTGGGGGATATACACCAAAAATGTAAGTTGGGGTTTTCCTTTTTTTTTTTTTTTTTAAGATGGGGTTTCACCATGTTGGTCAGGCTGGTCTTGAACTCCTGACCTCAGGTGATCCGCCTGCCTTGGCCTCCAAAGTGCTTGGATTACAGGTGTGAGCCACCATGCCCGGCCATGAATTGGGGCTTTCTCAGGTGATGGGATGATAGGTATAGTAACTACTGTTAACTACCGTTATGTACTTCCTTTCAATCATCTGTATTTTATAATTTTTCTACAATGATGGATTTTATTTTAATAACAAGAAAATAGGGTTTTTAAAAGGAGTCAGCCCTGACCCACTGGCCCCAGACCTCAGCTGGAATTCCCTTTGGTGCTCTGTCCATCACCCCTCCTACTTCCTGAGTCCTGGGCACCCAGCTCCCCTATCCCAGCCATCCCCATCTCTGCATCTACACCCAGGAACATCCCTAGGACTCTGGGCGGAGAGTGGCTTGGGCAGGTGTTGGGAGGATGGGGTTGAGGGGCTGCTCCCCAACTTACCGACCACCTCCCCTGCCATGAAGACGAAGCACACGGCACAGGCAGCATACAGCTGTTTCCGCGCATGCAGCCTCTCAGGGGTGAGCCCCAGCGGTGGCAGGGGGTCCCTGTGGCAGTGGTGGAAGGGCATCTCTACAGGTTTGGATTCCTCAGTGACAGGCTCTGAGGGCTCTGTGAAGAGACTGAGGCAAGCGACATGGTTCAACTGGGCCTGGCCCACAGGCTGGCCTGCTCACTGGCCTCATCAGACCATCTCTCGCTCCTTCCGTAGGCCTAGTGGTATCTTGGAGCTGTGCTGGCAGAGGGCCACATGAGAGATGGGGGCTAAATGAACAGGTCAGACCCCAGTCTCCCTCTTCCTTCCATACACAGAGCCATAGAATTTTACAGCTGGAAAGCACCGTACAGGTGGTCTAGTCTAACTTTTTTTAAGAGATGGGGTCGGCCAGGTGCAGTGGCTCATGCCTGTAATCCCAGCACTTTGGGAGGCCAAGGTGGGCGGATCACAAGATCAGGAGATCGAGGCCATCCTGGCCAACATGGTGAAACCCCATCTCTACTAAAAAAAAAAAAAAGAAAAAAAATTAGCTGGGTGTGGTGGCATGTGCCTGTAATCCCAGCTACTTGGGAGGCTGAGGCAGGAGAATCACTTGAACCCAGGGAGGTGGAGGTTGCAGTGAGCTGAAAGCAAGCCACTGCACTCCAGCCTGACCACAGAGCAAGACTCCATCTCCCCAACCCCCCAAAAAAGGAGATGGGTTCTCGCTCTGTTGCTCAGGCTGAAGTGCAGTGGTGTGATCAGAGCTCACTGCACACTTGAGCTCCTGGCCCCAAGCGATCCTCCCACCTCAGCCTACTGAGTTGCTGGGATTACAGGCATGAGCCACTGCACCCGGCTCTAGTCTAACATTTTATTAAGTTAGAAGCATGAGGTTCACAGAGTGGGGGGACACATGGAGGCCAACCCAGATAGTTGGTAGAACTGAGAATAGACCCCAACACAATCAATTTCTTATGCTAGGCACCCCAAAATGAGCAGGATTCCTGCTGATCTCTGAGAGTGTCTGGTGAACAGGGTGAATGTGTGCCTATACTATGATATGCAGTGAAGGTAGCCATTGTCATTAGAGCAGTTAAAGTGCCATCAGCGTTCTGGGGATGGAGGCCAGACGAAATAATGAGGAAATCAGGGAAACAGCTGCAGGAGGTAACATGAGAAAGGCCTTGAAGAATGGGAAGGATTTTGATAATGACAGGTGAATGCTATGCCACGCACGCGAAGGCAGTATGATGGGAAGGTAGAATGAACTGTGGAGTGGGACTCCGCACATGATCCTGGCCTTAGTGTGCCTCCTTTCCAGGCCCACCTCCCAGAGCCTCCACTCCCAGATCCTGCCCCCTCCCTCTCTAGACATGCAGCTGAAGCGTGGCCCTTTAAGAGGGAAGTGGAATGTTGGGACCCAAAAAGTCTGATTCCTGGCACAGAGAACTGATGGCTAGATTCCGGACCTGGGGTTGTCATGGGGAGGAAGGGGTACAGCCTGCTACAGCTGAGGATGACAGTGGGAGAAGCATGTTAATTGGACTTCAGTCTGACTGTAAGCACCCAGCAGAGATCACCTTAACTGCATGGTATCATAAGCCTCCCTTCACAAATGTATGGGGCTTGGGGCCTCACCTGGGGATGCCAGAGGCTGAGTGAGCTCAGGCTGAGTGCTAAGTCCATTCTGGTCCAATTCTCACCCCCGCCACTACCCAACCTGAACCCAGCAAGAACAGAATCTTCCACAGAATTCAGGACCTAAATAGAAAATACAGTACTAGAAATACTCATGGAGGTGTGACAAGAATACCCACGAGTGAAAACGATGGCTCCAGATAGAAACGTGATCATAGCTGCAAAGTGGGACTGCCAAGTGGGTGAACTGAGTTTTAAGGGAGGTAGGGGGAACATCTGGTGCTTTACTGATAGATTAATTTCTTGGATTAATTTCCAAAGCCCCATTCAAGACTTAAAATCTGGTTGTGTATGATGCTGGGTGTGCTTCCAGAGGAGATGGGGTGGTGAAGGAGGCTGTGAAACCGATCCTCATTCGTTCAATGAGGTGTGCCGGGTAGAGCACACATAATGAAGCCCGGTCTGGTGGGAGAGACAGATTGTAACAAATGGCTTACTACGCAAGGGCAGGCTGATGCTAGGAGGGTTATGAACAAAGCACTTTGGGGTGCAGGGGAGGGAGCACCCCCTCACAGGGGGCTCAGAGAACTTCACAGAGGAAGGCATGTTTAAGGAGATGAGACACAGGTGGTGAAGGGTGTTCGCGACATGCAGACTGACAAAGATGAGGTGTGTGGCATGGAGTCTAAGCGTGAGGTGTCAGGAGGGCTGAGGAGGAAAGTGCTGGGCTCAAAGGAACATAAAGGGAGATCCACCGACTGGTCGAACAAATATCTCCTGAGCACTGAGATGACCTTGCTGATGGGAGGAAGAGAGGAAAGGAGAGGAGATGGAGCGGTCTAGAACAGACCAGGCCAGAGCTTCCCTGGAGGGGCAGGTAGGTTAGGAAACGCCTTTCAGAAAATGCTGCAGGATTTGGTGACTAATGGTCATATGAGAGTGAAGATGGGCTGGAGTTGGAGATGCGAGTCTGAAGAGGAGAGGCTGGGTGGCTTTGGGGGCAGTGGGCAAGATTCATTCCCCGGCCTTGTGAGGCACAGCACAGCCAGGCATCAAGGTGGCCACCCATCAACAGGCTGCTCCCTTTTGTTCTGCATAAATTGGGCACTAAGGAAGCCTGGCTGTTGGTGTGTGGGGGTGTGTGCATGTGGGGTGTCTACATGCTGTTTAGAGACGAGGAAAGGCCATTTCCTCTCCCTGGCCCTCTGAAACCCCCAACAAACAACCGATAATATTGAGTGGGGAGGAAGGGTGACGTAGCAGGGGCTGAAGCAAAGTCAAAAGGATATCTGAAGAGATGCCAGGCCCATGGCAGAGCCCCCACCGCGCCTCTGCAGGCCCCTGCAGGAAGAGGTCCCGCTCCTTTCTGCTCGCCCCCCGCCCCCAACCCGGCTTGAAGGCCCCCACCCAAGGAAAGAGCCAGAAGCACCACGTAAGAGACAAAGGGAGAGGGATTGGGAGAGAAACAGAAAGACTGAGAGAGATGGGGGAAGAGAAAAAGCCGGAGACCCTGCCAAATTCTGGAGACAAACGGACGGTCAGCCGACAGACAAGATGGCCCGCGGGGGTGGCCAGGGAAGCCGGGCGGCCGCTCCGAGGGGTTGGCTGACGGCGGCGGCAGCGGGCGTGGGGGCCGCCGGGGCGCGTTGGCGGTTCTCCTGCCGCCCCCGGCGCGCTGTCCCGGCCGCTCCACAAGCCTCATTTCACACCTCGCCGCCCCCGGCCCCGTCTGTGCGGAGCCGGGAATACCCCCACTGCCCAGACCGCACCTGCTCCTTCCTTGCCGCCGCCTCGCTTCCCGGCGGCTGCCCGCCCCGCAGGGGTCCGCAGGACCCGCGCAGAGCCCGGCCCATCCTCGGGCCCCGGCGCCAACAGCTGGCCGAGGCTGGATGGGGGGCCCGGAGCCCCGGTGCGCGGAGGGAAGCCCCAGGGCCTACAGAGGGAGCTCTGAAGCCTGGGCAGCGAGGCGCTCCCGCCCTGGGCCCAGGGCAATGCGGACCTCGGGGCACCGGCGCCGGCCCGACGGAGCGGCAGCCGCTGCCAGGGAAGGAAGGCGCAGCGGGGGCGTTGGAGGGGTCCGGCGGCTTGGGACGCCGGCCGCGGGGTGCGGGGCCCCTTCACCGGAGGAAATTAGGCGATGAGGAGGAGACAGAACCGGCGGTCGAGGGCAGGGGTCCAGGCCTGCTGCGGCCGGGCGCTCCGTGCGGCCAGAGCGGATGAAGCGGGGTTCAGCGGAGCCAAGGGACTAGCGGTGCGCGGGGATGCCAGCCAGGGTCCGCGCCGAGGGAGACAATGAAATGGACGGAGGGTAGTGGGGTGGTGCCCCCGGGCCGAGGGCCAGCCCAGGTCTGTCCTACCTCTTCAAACGCAGGCTGCCTCCGGCGCCGCCGCCGTCCCGGGGACTCACCAGGCGAGTGGTCTCCGAGCCCCCCGCGGCGGGAGAGGGCTCCATGTTCCTGCTGCCCCAACCGTCTAGGCCCCACCGAGAGAGGGAGAGGAGGGGCCGGCCCCGCGCCGAGTCCGAGCAGCCCGGCGATGCCCGGGCTCCCCGCAGGGCGGCGGGGCCACCAGAGTGGAGCGAACTGCAGCGACTGTGGCGCGCGGAGTCCGAACTGCAGATCCCGCTGCCGCCGGAGCCCCGCCCCGCGTGGGGCGAGCTCCCGAAGCCCCGCCTCCAGGCTCCCCAGCCTCTCCCCACGCCTAAGCCTCGCCCCCACGGCCAAAGCCCATTTCCCCTCCCCAGACCCCGGTGGGGGCGGCGGGAGCGCCCCGCCACCCGAGTTCTGGAGAACTCAGCTCCACAGCCCCATCCCCTAGGCGAGTTAGCCCCACCTCTGCACAAAGCCCCGCCCACCGGTTCCCAGCTAGCCCCTCAAGCCCAGGGACCTCATGATCAATCTTCGCCCAACGACCACCACTTTGTGCGTGCCCGCACGGGAGTGTTGCCCACCACGCCGTCACCCTGTGGCCCCAGTCCTCACGCGGAGGCAGAAACAGGCGTACCCATTACCTATCTCCGGAGAACCAGAAAGAATGTGAGGTGAGCGGTGACACATAGGGAGATTCCAGGGACTCCAGAAACCCCTCTGCGGAGGATCTGGAGTCGGAATTCATGAGACAAATCTGCTGCCAATCACTGTACCTCTAATGATCATTTATTTTCATACAGAAACATTGGGTGACAAGCTTCCTGCTCTCCTCCAATCCATTATTATCCCTGCTTTTCAAATGAATAAACTGAGACCCAAAGGAAGAAGTAAGCGTCCAAGGTCATGTAGGCTGTGAATAAAGGGCCCGGCCTGGACGCCCATCCTCTTTCTCTCCCTGGCTCTGGACGCTGCACTGGCGACTGGAGAGCGCGCACAGTCCTCTTACCGGTGGGGCGGCCAGTGGAGCCGAGTAGCCTCGCTGGTGTCACGGCCACTGTTTATGGAGTGGGGCTGAGGGACAGCGTGTCAGCTAGTGATTCCCATCCTCCACACCTGCAGCGCCCTCCCGAGCATTACCGCATTTTGCCTCATTTGGGGCAAACTAAAACCTAGGGGAGGGAGAGACTTACAGCAAAGTCGGTGGCCGAGCCTCAAGTCGAAGCTTCAAATACTCAATGTTCTCTCCCCTCACACCTGCCACCACTGTAGAATGGGAGGGGTAGGAAGAGGATTGTGCACTCGAAGCTGTGACAGTCTGTGAAGAGGAGGGTCCGTAGGAGGAGGGGAGAGAGTCAGCAGGGATAGGGAAGCGTGGAGGGTGGGAATGGTTAGTGAGCCCAGGCAAGAAACTCATCAACCGCATCTTTCAGAACACACTGGGCGTCCTGAACTTAGGGTTCTGGGGACAGACACCTACTCTCAACATTGTTATTCCAAGGAGACTACGAGTGCACTTGCAAAACAAAACAAACAAAACAAAAACGGGAGCATGTGCCAGATACAGTGTTGGAAGTGATGGGGTTAACCCGGGAGAGCTTCGCGGAGGAGGTGAGGCTTAAACGGATTAGGCAAGCTGGGCGGCGGGCTGGCTGTTCCGGCGGGGGAAGAGTGTAGCTTGGCTCGTGCCAAGGTATGCGGGAGGCGCGTGCAAAGGACTGTCCTGCACGGTGGCTGCGGAGCGACACGGGAGAGCGACAGGGGCTGCAAGCGCCCTCCCTGCCCCCGCCTGCGCCAGCCTCTCCTCCGCGCCCGCCCCCGGCCTCTCCCCCAAAGGCCCAGCCCAAAGCCCACGCAGGGTGACGGGGCAAGGGAGCGAGGGGTCTTTCTCCCTCCAACCTCCCCGTAAGGCGCGGGACTTGAGGGACCCCTGTTCCTCCTTGGGTCACAGGGAGAGACACTGATGCGGCGAGAGGGGGAAGCCACCTGCCAAGGTCACCCTGCCTGGCTATTTGTCAGAGCCAAGGTGGAACCCAAGTCCCTGCCTGGCTATGCCAGGGCTCCGGGTACGTCCGGCCCGGCGCCGTCGGTTTTCTAAGCGCCGCACCCATCCTAGGGCTCTCCCCAATTCTGAGCCCTGGAGCTGGGATACGCAGGGGCCACCGCACTCTGCGGCTCAGATGCGATAGCCTGGCTTGTAGCTACCCGGGCGGGTGAGCTTGAGAATGGGGAGAAACGGAGGGGCCCTATGCGGGTAACGGGATTCTTGGCAAGGCTCAGTCAATGACGACAACAGGGGACAAAACAATGGCTTCCTCCGGGATTTCCCTTCCTTAGCCGCCCCGAGTGCCGGGAGGGGGCGCAGACGCCCGCACGTGCCCCGCCCGCCCCCGCCGGGAGCCAGCAGGCGGGGAAGGCAGAGGCTCCTTGCAGCGCGTGGCCAAACGTGCCGCCTCCAGAAGCCAAGGGCTCTGGCGGTGGGAATACCAACTTTCACTTGAAAATTTATGTAAGGAAAGCTTGGCAGCGAAACAGGGTGCTTGCACCTGTTCCTCAAAGAGCTATCAAACGGCCCTATGAAAATCTTTGCAAAGGGTCCTCGTGAATGTCAGGCCCCAAGAAGTCAGCTGGGCGCCGTGGCTCACGTCTGCAAACCCAGCGCTTTGGGAGGCTGAGGCGGGCAGATCACTTGAGGCCAAGGGTTTGAGACCAGCCTGGCCAACGTGGTGAAACTCGTCTCTACTAAAATTACAAAAATTAGCTGGGCATGGTGGCGCATGCCTCCTCATGCCCAACTGAGGAGGCTGAGGCAGAAGAATCGCTTGAACCCCTGAGGCAGAGGTTGCAGTGAGCTGAGACCTCTGCACTCCAGCCCGGGCAACAGAGCAAGAGACTCCATTTCAAAAAACAAAACAAAAAAAAGTCATGCTACACCTAGATAGGAGATAGGAAAATTACCCAGGGGTTGGAAAAGTCAGCTTAGGGCTGGTGCCCTGTATGGACTGTAGTCTTGTAAGAAGTATTTATTCAACATTCATTCTCTGCCATGTACCCTTCTAGCTTACATGCGGATTGGTGGTGAACAAGACAGACACATTCCCTCCCCTCCAGACTCTAACTTGATTGCAAGGGATTTCTGCTTTCCAGTCCATCCTTACTGATGTATCCATGTGCTCTTACAGCCTATCCTGTCCTGCCTCAGGTACCAATCTTCTGTAAGGTGAGTCATTAGGCCGCCTTCAGTCCCAAAGGTGTGATGGAGACAAGAATGCCAGCTTCCAAAAGGCCTCTGGCAGAACAGGCTAAATGAGGACTGCAGGGGGACCCAGACTAGAAGTCCATGCTGGACCAGTTCGTAATGGGAGAGTAGAGCGACTCTTTGCACTGAGGTAAGGATTTAAGCTGGGCTGGAGATTTCAGGCAAAATTTAGAATGCAAGCCTGTGGACAAAGTTAACACCTGACAAATCCAAGCCAAGCTGAAGAGCATGGACAGAAGAGGCAATCTGGAGATCAACTTCTACTCCATTCTCCTCAGATGTCACCTCCAGGAAGCCTTTCCTGAATCCTCCCAGACTGGGTGTGTGTCTCTCCCCGCTTCTCTCAAGGCTCACATTGTGCTTATCTGATCCCGGCACTCACCTCATGGTGATGAAGTCCTTTGCTTGTCTGTCTCCTTGCTAGAGAGCAAGCTCCCTGAAGGCAGGAATTGTGTCTTTCTCAACTGTGTCCCCAAGCCCCACTAATGCCTGGCACATAGTCCTCAATTAAGCCATCCCAGAAAGGAGGAGCTAGTTGAGTGGAAGCAGAATGGAGGAGGTAGGATTTTAGCTTGTCACAGGGAGAATGAGGGAGAGTGGCAGCTTAAATGTCACTGCCTCAGGGAGGCCTTCCCTGGCCCCCACATTAAGTTAATTCTCATGTCGTACACTCTCATCGCACAATACTTTTTTGTTTTTTGTTTGTTTTCTTTTTTGAGACAGGAGCTCACTCTGTTGCTCAGATTGGAATGCAGTGGTACCAACATGACTCACCACAGCTTTGACCTCCTAGACCCAAGTGATCCTCCTGCCTCAGCCTCCCACATAGCTGGGACTACAGGTGTGCACCACCACATCCAGCTAATTTTTTTTTTTTTTTTTTTTTTTGCATTTTTTGTAAAGACGAGTTTCACCATGCTGCCCAGGCTGGTCTCGAACTCCTGGGCTCAAGCCATCCTCCCACCTCAGCCTCCCAAAGTGCTAGGATTACAGGTGTGAGCCACTGTGCCTGGCCAATACACTAAATTTTCTTTCAGCACTGATCATACTATAACTAAACTGTTATTTGGGATTATTTGTTTCACCATTTGGCTTCCAGGCTACCATAATCTGGTTTTCCTCCTACTTCATTGGCTGTTTATTTTCAGTTCCCTTTGCTGGTTCTTCCCCATCTTCTCAATCTTTTAGTGCTGAATTAGCCTAGGCCTTGGTCACTCTATTTTCTTTCCACACTCACTCCCACGGAGCTATTATCCAGTTTCTGGTCTTTAAATACCATCCAATAACAGCAGACTAATGATTGTTGAAGCTAGATGCTGGGTACACAGAAAGTCATTGCACCATTCTATTTTTGTATGGGTATGAATTTTTCTTTATTTTGATACGGAGTCTCACACTGTCGCCCAGGCTGTAGTGCAGTGGTGTGATCTCGGCTCACTGTAATCTCTACCTCCTGGGTTCATGCAATTCTCCTGCCTCAGCCTCCTAAGTAGCTGAGACTACAGGCATGCGCCACCATGCACAGCTATTTTTTTTTTTTTTTGTATTTTTAGTAGAGATGGGGTTTCACCATGTTGGCCAGGATGGTTTTGATCTCCTGACCTCATGATCCACCCACTTCGGCCTCCCAAAGTGCTGGAATTATAGGCGTGAGCCACCGTGCCCAGCCGGGTTTGAATTTTTCTATTAAAAAGGATTAAAAAGAGCCAGTCATGGTGGCTCACACCTGTAATCCCAGCACTTTGGGAGGCTGAGGCAGGCAGATCACTTGAGGTCAGGAGTTCAAGACCAACCTGGCCAACATGGTGAAACACCGTCTCTACCAAAAATATAAAAAATTAGCTGGGTGTGATGACACACACCAGTAACCCCAGCTACTTGGGAGGCTGAGGTAGGAGAATCACTTGAACCTTGGAAGCAGAAGTTGCAGTGGGCCGAAATCATGCTACTGCACTCCAGCCTGGGTGACAGAGTGAGACTCCATCTCAAAAATAAACAAATAAATAAATAATAAATGACATCTGTATGGTGGCGATTCTCTTTGCTCATAGCATCATACAAGATGCAAAACGATCTTTGAAATCTGGCAGTGAACTCT